ACAACAATTTTGTAAAGGGGAGTCAAATGGTTGTCTTAACTACCAAGATTAATCAGCATGGACAGAGAGGGTCAAAGCAATAAGGAGTCTGTCCAGTCACAAGCAACACTGACTCCAGAATGTCAGGGTCACATCTTTGCAGGCCTTTTAATGAAGTTTTCTTCACATTACATGAGTTTTATGTACTGTAATAAAATTACTTTATTTTCACTTTGAAATTCACTATAAAATGTACTGACAACATCCACCATGTGCTGGAAAATATAACCATCCTGCCCGTACTGCAGAGCTGTCAGAGCTCCAAACTGTATCGCCACATCCCAGTCATGGGAACACCAGGCACTCATACAAAACTCAGCTCAGAGGACAGAGGAGGATGAGGAGGGTTACTGCCTCCAGCTGAGCTGCCACAGGCCTATAAGCAGGAACATATCAGAGACTCTACCCATGCTCATAGAGGCTACAAGTCTTGCAAGATTTGAACAAGCCATCACAGTTGGTAAGGATTATCTGTATGTTTACTGGGAAAAAGCATCCCCTTAAATCATGACCCTATGCATCTCATCTCAGGCAGCTCCTGCTGTCAGAAGGTAAATTGCCAGGCAAGAGCAGTGACCACTAAAGGCAGCTGGTCTCAGTCTCACACTCCCTGTCCTGGCAGCGGCAGCAAACCTGATTTCCCTGGGTGCAGGCAGAGGTAAAGCAAACAATGAAGACATGACCATTTTGCTGTGCCCTTGGCAGGCTGCTGCTGCCCAAGGCAACAACCTACATCACCTATGCTCCCAGTGGGCCCTGTTTTTCAGTCAGTTCTGCTATACCTTCAAATGACTCTATTAGCACCTCGAAAAATAAGTCATTTGGGCCCCACCTAATGTTTGAGAGATTTCAACAGTTGCCTTGACTCATGGATCTGCAGACTAATTGCAAGTACCATCCAGAACATTAAAGCCCCCACACAATTGTGACAACTTTGATATTATTGCTTAGAACAGTGCCCACTTGAATCATGCTTTGATTCAGTCACTAGTATTTTAATGGAAAAGGGCATATTTTCCTCCAGCCCCATTTCACAGAGTGGGAAGCACACAGGAAGGATTTATCCCACATAAAAATAAATTGCTATTTGCTTGTCAGAAAATAGCTCTGGAAAACAGAAAAACATCAATTATTTCAGAGTAGCAAATAAACAAAAAGGGATTTTTTCCAATTTTTAAAAATAAATAGTTTATCTGCAAGCAATGGCTCCATTTTTTTCCCCAACAAAGCAATTCCCGAATCTCCTCTCTATGGAGTTTACATATCAAGTCTGACACACTGGTCTGATTACTGTGAGAATGAGCAAAACAATCAGCTTGTACAGCCAAAAAGCCTTGAATCCAAACAGATGCCAATTCAACCTGTAGATAGATATTCCATTGCGCCGTTGAAAATAGTCTTTCACACTTTTTTCAAGATGGGAAGGGAGGTTTTCTCTTTTAATCATCGACCTGAAGATGTCAGCTCCACTCTTGCACATTAACATGCCATCAGCACATAAGTTCAGGGCAATTATCTTGGTGAATGTGACTGAATACAATCTAAGACACCACAGTGAGAAAGAAGATCCTAAATCTCACTGTTACATTATTTTTATTGCTGTTGCAGCCAGACATGCCTATTGGGCAGGGATGAGGTTGCTGCCATGTTGCCTACATGCCCAGATTGTGAACGAGGGTCAGTGTCTTGGCCTCTCTGTCTTCTCTACCACTTTTTCCCCATACAATCTAGGACAAATAACCCATCCTGCACCGCAGATGCCTACTGATACACCAGGGCAGTTATTCCACCTTCTGCAATGAATAGGGTCCAGCCTTGACTCAGCCACCATTGTGAGGAGCAACAGCCTCTCTTCTTGTAGACAGAATGAGCTTACTGTGGATTTAGCTCATTTTTTCTTATTCTGGCAAGTTTTAATGAGACTGGGAAAAAATACCAAGCACTGATAATGAAAATGGTGGTTTGTGCATAGTATTAGTTTGACCAGGGGGATAAAATTGCACTCTGGAAGGTGGAGTTTTCTGCTTCATGATCTATTTTTTCTGAAGATGCAACAGCTAGCAAAGTGCTCATTAATGGATAGTGACAAGTAGTTTCCTGTGGTCCTAAAACAAACCATTAATTACATAGAATGTTTTCAGTTCTAGAGGCTAAAAAGCATTCAATACTGCTTAGCTGGTTGCATGTTTTTTCATGCAATTAGGTGATGAGAAAACCAAGAAGTGGAAAAAAAAAAAAAAACCACAAAAGAAAAAAAGGAAAAAAGAAAGAAAAAGAAGCTATTGTACTTTCCCCACACCATCATGCTTCAAAATAGCCTTCAGCTGAGGCCTAGATATTCAATGTGCCTGCAAAACAAACGGCTTTTTGCAGAGATATAAGCCAGATCTTCATTTGACCTGATCATCTTTGTTCAGCAGTTCAAGTAAAGGGTTGGGTCCCATGAAGCAAAGCACAGAGTGGCAAGAAGGCCTTGTAGCTTTACTGGGTACTGCCAAGAAAGTTCATTCTCGTCCCTTTTTTTTTCCATTTTAATCCTTATGCACTGACATGTCAATAGAAGACTTCAAACTAGTTACAAAAAATCCCTGCACTTACAAAAGGTAGGAACTTTTCCGCCTCAGGAGTGGCAGAGAACACCCCATCCTCCTAAACCAGCCCGTTTTTCCTTCACTTGAAACGATCCTAGTGAGAAAACAGAAACTGTGTTGGCAAATGTTACAAGACCTGCTCCTCACCGTAATACTCAGAAAGGGGAACCAGTTGCATCATTGGAAATATGTGAAATAACAGCACCCCTAAAGCTATCTCACAAAACAGAGCATTGTACATTATGGGGCTTTTTATGCCATCTAATGTAAACCAAGAAATCTTCCTACATATCTTTGAAGGAAATTTACTGGATCTCAGGAATATCACAGCTACTGTGTTTAAGATGGTGACAGAAATGTGCTTCTGATCTGTGGGCATACAGTAAACTATCTGGGTGTTCAAGTACATCTTTTACGCAACAGATGTGAGGTTTGGAAAATGTGGCTCTAAAAAAGCACAAGGTCATACCCAAGCAAGGTCTGGTACTACAAGCTTTAGAGAATATTTCTAATATAAGAACTAGTTCTGAGTTCCCTTTCATAAGCAGATTGCAGCACACTATAGAGCTGGTTTGAGAGGCCTCTCCATTAGGCATTAGCTAACACTGTACATTTAGAAAAAAACTTTGACAGCACAACTAGTTTTGTGCATTTATTCTGTAGACCAGGAAACTTATAGAAAACATGGAAACTTATGAAACACAGCAAAAGGTGGCTTTCTGCAGGTGGAAAGCTCTCTCCAGGAACCTGTCTTCTTTTGACAAAGGTGCTTGTTTGCTTGCACTGTTGTGCTCCCATTGCATGCTCAGATGATCCCCCCATCCCAGCTGTGTGTCCATGCCATGACCAATAAAGTAGACCTGTCAAGCCGTTTCAGATTCAGACCACCCTTATTATTCATCACAGTGGATATTGTGTCAGTAAGATAGTGGTTTCACAGGAACTGTATGGGTTATCTTGCTAAAGTATAACCATAGTACCAACCACAAAGAAAATATTTCTGCCCATAGAAATAATTAATACAAGCATTGTCTTCATGTAGAAGAAAGGATAGTGGGGACCTCTTTGAGACTATCCTGAAGCACCCTGACTACAACAGTATCTACTCACTTCAGTAGAGATTGTCCATACCTGCTATCTTTCAGAGCCAAGACTATAAGTTTTATGACCTTATTCAGGGTGAGTTTACTGAAGTCAAGAAAGAGACGCAAGGATTCCTATTAGTATGACCTATCTACATTTTGGGTCAGATCCCAGGAAAAAAAATAAAACAAACCAAAACTGCACTCCCTTTTCAGCCATAAATTATGCTCTTAATTATCCAAATGTCAAACTGTGCTTGCAAATAACTAGGAAGGTCAGATCAGAGTGACTTAGACCTTTAAAAGCCAGTTTCAGGAGGCAGCCCTTTCCATGGCAGACATGTAAGAATATTATACTTAGAACTCACTGTCACTCTTTGCAAGTTGCTTTACAAGGGCCATGAACAAGGAGTGAACTCTTCTTCGCACATGGAGCAGTTACGGAGCCTGTGATGCCAGGGTCTGTGCTATGTGCTTGCAAGATGACAGAATTTCAGTTTCAGGACTTTGCCACATAAAATCTAACCATATGAAGTAGGAGGTAACCAACTCTCTCTCATATTGTTCAGACTCCTCATGACTAACTACCATTTACACTCAGGATAATCTCAAAATGGAATAAACCCAACAGAGGATGGATTAAGGCTTAGGGTGTTTTCTTTTAACTAGTAGTCACAGGAGGAAATCGCCAAGTCAGTACTATACTGCAAAGGGCTTCAGGCAGGGACCTCAGGCCATATTATTTTGGCTGTGAACAGAGACACACTGAATTAAACTCATAATTGGAGTAAGCATCAGAGTGCAAGGGAGATGTACCCTAAATTTTTCTCTTTTGTTTTTCATGGCATGTGGCTACAAACAGACTGAGTCCAGCTCCTGAGATGCAGAAGAGCCCTCTTGACAGCACCACCTACCCTCCCCATGCACCCAGAAAAATTAAATCAGGTCTCAGTGAACCCGAATCAAACGCCCCATTTTCAGGTGTTTTAAGGGGCCATATGACTGACTGAAAAGATTTCATTGTGACTCAAAGTGAGAATAACATGCCTTCACCAAGAAAAAGGCACTGTCTTCTACCATTTTATGTGTAAATAGTTGCTGCCTCTGCTTCCACCAAACCTCAAAGCTCATTATAGCTGAAGTGCTAACCCATGAGAAAAGCCCAGAACACAGAAACATGGCATGGAGACATTACAGCTTTTATCCTTCATAGAATTAGTTTGTTTACTTTTGATGAGATAGAAGGGAAAATAAAGGATACACATGAAAAGACACCTTGTTACATCACCTCAGCAGTTCCATGAGTGTCTTTTCTTGTACTTTTTTCTTCCCTTTCTTTTTTTAGCATTTCGAGAGATCTCAAGTGAGTCAAAGTGTCCTTTACTCTCTCACGCACAAGAGGAGCTGCAAAACATGTCACAGAAGTTACATCTTTGAAGAGCCAGACACAAAAAACAGATTCTGCAGCAGCATTAAACATAAATTACACAGCACAAACCCTGAGCTTTCCCTTAGAGCTGGCATCTTGCTTTTCTTGTCTCCAAACATGCAAGCAACACTTGGATGTGCTTTGTGCACCCTTGTTATCCTTTCTCCTGGGGTGGGGGGAAGACAAAAATACAACTCAGCAGAGAAACTGTTAATTTAACAAATGAAGAACAGAGAAGGAACCTGGTGAGAAATGCTGGCATCAGATATGGGAAAATGAGAAGCCAAAAGGGAAACGTTGTGCAAAGCGCTTAAAGTGTCCAGGAGCAGTGAAGAAAAGCTGTGCAAGACCAAAAAGCAGGAAGAAACATGTAGTCTCTATGCATGCATGCTTCGGGAGAGGAAACAGATGATTGCAAGGCACACATACAAACTTTTGTTGAGAACAAAGAGACCTGAACTCCTCTTTTTTGTTTTTGTAACTTTCCATTTCCCTTCCCCACCATGAATTTCTGCATGTGTTTGACTGGATCACTGAATCCAAAACCACAATATATGTATATGTGCTTACTCACATATACATTGGTATATGTGACTCTTTTCTCATAGGTGCGGGACATACAACTTTCTGTAATGATAGGCAGAGGATGCAGATGCTCACTATTTGCAAAACCATTGCTTTTCCACTTTTCCAACTAAATTGGTGCTCATCTCTGAAAATTTAACCTAGGGACTTTCATTCCAATCCGCTAGTAAAATGCATACAGTGAAGAGGTTCTTCAAGGAAGAAGAGTGAGGAAAAAAAACCAACTGAATTTATCACATCCTTCTTCACTTTTTAATTAGGGAAAAAATGGAGGAAAGACACTGGAAGAAAAATCAATCTGCTGCTCTTGATTTAGCTCTTTGTTTAGTGACAATTTGACTCATAAGACCAAATTATCTCTGGGGAAATAATTTCAGTTCAAGGCAATTTCTCTGGTAGACAAGTTGCTTACCTTTCTTTCTTGGGTCTGTGTGCTTCCCCCCTTTGTTCTCTGAACCTGAGAATATCTTTAATTTCAGGGCATTTCTTTATCAGCCTTTCAAATGAGATCTTCAAAGTGAGAAGCATTTTCTCCATACAACTAAACTTTTCTTCATACCTATAATAAGGTTTAAAGCAAATTAGAAATTCCTTTAGCTGCAAAACACCAGGGAAAAGAGATTTTCGAATACACAGCATTTTCATTTGAAGAAAGAGTAAGTGAGACACACTGACTGATTTGAAGTCTATGCGATAGGGGAAAAAAAATGACCTTTCATCAGACCCGTAATTCATTAATACCGTTCCCCACCTCCCATCTGGAAGCCAGTCATATCGCTAAATATATTGTGCATCAGCACAACTGTTTCAGCCCTCTTACCCCAAATCACGATAGAAAAATTGTCATTTATTTCTGCTATTTTTTTTTTTTTACTTTCCCAGGGATTTAATTTTATTTGCGACTTAGGTAAAAATAACTTCTGAGGATCCCAGCTGTGGGTTTGAATCTAAGCTGTTTGGAATTTACGTTCTACTTCTCATTTTCAGCCCTGGTATTTCTTTGCAAGATATCTCACTGGGAAGCAACCAGAAAAACATTGCCTTATTTCCTTTTTTTTTTTTTTTTACGATTTCAAAAGTCATGTAAGAAAGATAAAATGACCATCAACAGCTCCCAGGGGGAAGACTGGAAATACAGGAGATTCATGAGCAGTCCTTAATGCATTAGCTTCTCCCACACATTCAAAACCCACATGAAAATCAGAACCCACACAGTAAAAGCCCTCATGAATACGTGCACCACTTCGAAATTTAAACAGGCTTCTATTAAAGGCAAGAGTGCCCATCTACCAACATAATGTTTATGCTGCTCAGACTGCTGGGGCTCTCTATTTTGCTATTAAAGCCCTTCCTGCTTTTTTCTTTTGTGTAGCACTGAGATGGAAGCCTAACAAAGGTGTCGTTTCCCAGGAGGGATCCCTGCTTCCTTGCTTGCCTGTATTGAGGTAACAGGGAAACACACTGATGTAACTCCTACGCAATGGGGATGAAATGCTGTCAGCATGATGAGATTATTGGGAGCTGATCCACTGGCATTGCCTTTCATACCTCCACAGTCCTTTCCCATTTGTATTTACTAATCCAATTTCCACTTCCAATGTGGGTAGACCCTCTTCTTCATTTTTTCCTCTGACTATCATCACCTCAAGGCTAACCACAGACCAATTGCTATCTGCAAGGACCAAATCCACATCTCTCTGTACCCTGAGAAATGCCGTAAAGAAATACTCCCATCCATACCAAGGAGATACACTGCTACTAGAGAGCAGCTGCTGTAAGAGCAGTCCTCATCCTGGTGAAATGTGGCTTGAGAAACAGCAGAAACACTCATCTCACCTGAACGTTCAGGACAGTATTTCTGTGTCCATCCACTTTGCATTCCTGAGACAGGCTGAGAGTTTGCATATCGTGAGTTATGATGGCTTAAGTGATGAGTGACTGCCTCAGTGGAGAAGCAGCACAGGCCACCTGAACCCACCCAACATTTTGCTGCCACTGTTGAAAAGGGGAAGTACTACACTCCCCATATCACTCTTAGACATGCTCTCTTGCTTACCTTCCACCAGCTCTAGTGCTTGCTGGGAGCAACTGAGAATTGATACAACCCAGTAATCCAGCAGCAAATTATCTCAGAAAAAGCAATTTATTTTCTGCCAGTATAGGGGCGAAATCGGTTGAGTAAAAAGTTTTACGAGCTGCAGAGTCAGCACAAGACTGAGAGCAAGAGCAGGGGTAGGGAGGACAAGGAGGAAGAGGATCTCTCCCTCTCAGCAGATGTAAGTTGTTTGTAAGACTCAGCCATAACATGCAACTTCACCTTTGGGATCACTCAGATGTTGCCTCCCATCACTATGAAGGCATCCAAGCAGAGTGATGAGAAAGGAAGGGTAAAAATTCTTTGGAGTGCACTTTGACAGAAAAAAGAAAAACGTGTGAATAGAGTTGTCCAAACATACATTTTTGGGGGAAGAAAATTGCAGGATGTGTATTTTAGGAGAGATGTTATTTTTAAACCTTTTTTATTTTTTATTTTTATTCATTAAATCTGCTTAACATTAATCACAAACAAACATTTGGCACAAAGGATAGCCTTATTAATGATTCAGTGCCTTGGTTCTTCCAGTGAGGGAAGCACTGAAATCCAGCATTTTACAGGGTGGAAAACAAGCTGTTAAAAAATAACTGGGAAAACTCCTAACCTTTTGAGGGAGGCATAGAAAAGGGAAAGGGAAAGGGAAGAGAAAGGAATAGGTCATTATACATCACAAAAATAGATCACAGATTTTTTTTTGTTTTAGTTCTTTGCAGGTTTCTTTTCAAGTAAAGGACACGACTTTTAAAAAGCCTTTAACAGCACTACTTTGCACTTTTAATAAAGACTTCTTAAAGACATTAACTTCCACATGGCCCATAGCCTTTTCCTCTGGGGCAGACATGAAATGGCTCTTCTGGCAGCAACTAATGCTCCCACAGCCAAACATCTACACCCCTGTAATCAAGCATAGCTGGGTTCTTAAACAAGGGCAGTGCCCTCAGGGCTCCTCTTCTCAGTCTGACTGCTGAAGCACAGACGATCAATGACTATTACCACCACACCAATGAAGTCCTCAATAGTCATCCCGAACCTGGGAATCAGGCCTGTGAGGGTAGAAACTGCATCATCCAACAGTATGAACTTACCCATACTTAGGGGAAAAAATTATCACAGTAACAGCTCAGAAACAGAGACAGGCAGCCAAAAGTTTCTCCCTGCAAACCTGTTTCATGGGTTTATATCATTAATGGTCTCTTCCTCTCATGGACCAAACACTGCACAAAGTGCCCCCAGTGGCCTTCAGGTATATATTATTTACTGTGATCCTCAGGAGGTCCACGCTAAAAACAGCCTGGGAAAGCAGACTATATTTTATCCACCACATGACCTAGTTTCAGCAGCTCTGTCAAGCACTTCTGTCACCAGCAACAGGGCTGAATAATGTTCAGTGAAGTAGGTGATGAGTTACGTGAAACTAGCTTCCAGAGGAAATTAATTTCCACAGAGAGCTCTGGCTACTTGAACTTTGTTTTAAAAAGCTGTGTTTTATTGCCGTCAAAGTTAATGAAGAAAGGTAGCTGACAGACTGCTGCACAGTCTGCGTTATCTCACAGCCACCTTCCTTCCAGCAGCAGAAGCAGCAGCGGAATAGGAACATCCACTGAAATGAGATTCCATGTGCACCGATTTTACTGTTTTTCTTGCAACTGCCACATCTACTGCCCTAATATTGCCATGAGAGATAATTAAACCGATTTCTAATACAATGCTGTGCATATGGCATCTCTGTCAAGACCATTCTCAAGCAGGAGAACAGATTGCAAAAAAGTACTGCATGCTCAGCCTTCTGCCTGGGAATGTAGGTAGGAGATAACATAAAACTCCCACCACTCCTTACAAGCACACGATCTCCAAAAGAAGCTATTTTTCTGCTTTTATTTTGCCAGACTTACCATAGTGGATCCCCCTCCAGGGTTTCCAACTCTCTGCCCTGCACTTGACCTAGTCTTTGCATGCTGGAAGATTCTGGAGGCCCTTGACCGAGACCTTAATCCATACATTAGCATAAAGGTAGTATTAAGTCCATCAGTCTGAAGAAAGTATCCTCCATATTATATCCACACTGCAAGATTTACCCTAAAATTAAGGACAAACTACTTTGTGGAAACTACGTACGGTTCATTCACACCCAGGTAGGTTACTGCTTCTAATAGTGCTTATCTCAAACATCTCACAACATCTGTTGTCTCTCATCATGTTCAAAAGTATGACTGTCGACATTTCAAAGATACATGGGAAAACGTGGGAAAAATGCAAAAGAATCTTCTACTGTGGAGTGGCTGCTATTCCACACTGTTAATCTTAGCACAGAAAATCAGGCAACTTATCTGTGCTCAGGATCCTTTGCATGAATATTGCTGGAAAAAACACTTTGATGTGATCAGATGCTTCATAGTAGTTCTTCACTGAGTATATCAGGAAACAGCAAATGGGTTGAAGGAAAGACTTAACAAGATGGCATCTGCTGGAAGGACGGTACGGCCCGGCACAAGCAATCCAGGAGGTTCCTTGATTGTGTAGAAGACAACTTCCATATGCAAGTAATAGAGGAGCTGACAAGGAGAGGTGCCATGCTTGACCTCGTGTGCTCCAACAGGGAAGGGCTCGTTGGAAATGTTATGCTCCAGGGCAGCCTTGGATGCAGCGATCATGAGATGCTCGAATTTCATATCCTCAGGACAGTGAGAAGAGCGTGCAGCAAGCTCACTGTGCTGGACTTCAAAAGAGCAGACTTTGGCCTCTTCAGGAACCTGCTTAGTAAGGTTCCATGGGATACAGCCCTAGAGGGAAGGGGGGCCCAAGACTCTTGGTTGATATTCAAGGATGACCTGCTACAAGCTCAGGAGTGTTGCATCTCAACTAGAAGGAAGTGCAGCAGGAGGGCCAGGAGACCTCCTTGGATGGATAAGGAGCTGCTGAGGAAAATTCAAAGGAAAAAAGAGGCTTATAATGAGTGGAAGCAAGGACAGGCAGCCTGGGAAGAGTACAGGGATGTTGTCCGAGAAGCTAGGGACCAGGTTAGGAAAGCTAAGACCCAGTTAGAATTAAACTTAGCTAGAGGTATTAACAGGAAGGGATTTTACAAGTACATAGCAAATAAAAAAACAGACTAGGGAGAATGTAGGGCCCCTCAGGAAGCTCTCGGGAGAACTGGCTACACGGGATTTGGAGAAGGCTGAGGTTCTGAATGACTTCTTTGCCTTGGTCTTCACTGGCAAAGGCTCTGACCAAACCACCCAAGTCTTGGAAGGCAGACACAGGGACTGTGAGAATGAAGACCTTGCGCCCACTGTAGGAGAGGATCTGGTTCGAGACCATCTTAAAAATCTGAACGTGCACAAGTCCATGGGACCTGATGAGATCCATCCGCGGGTCCTGAAGGAGCTGGCGAATGAAGTTGTGAAGCCGCTGGCCATCATATTTGAGAAATCATGGCAGTCAGGTGAAGTTCCCGACGACTGGAA